TACATATGGCCAATGACTACTGTATATGTCATCAGAACATCCTATGTCTGAGAAAGAAGATGATAACAATGACCAGTCTGGCTCAGACAGTGAAAGGAAGCATGTGAAGACGTATAGTATCAGTATTCTTCCATGGAGAAGTGCAGAATTAGGTGACTCAATGCATCACCTTGATAGAAAGTATAATTGAAGGAGGAGTGCAAAAAGCACAAACATGACTTTTCAGAGAAAGAGTAGAGGCATTGTTTCAAGCCATCCAGCTCCTGAAGATACCCCTTCCTTTGCACTGGCATAGAAGTAGACCATGTCTAGCTAGGGCATATAGGGTTACAGTAAAAAAAGCCAAGCATTCCCTCCTAGTGTGGAATGAACTTGTGGGACTCATTTGATTTTCTTTGCCCAAAATTTTCAATTCGCAATAGGGAAATAAATCTCTCCCTCTCAAGTGAAATATTGGCAATAGATGAACATTCTTTGCTTACTAGTATTCAGGCAATATTGCACAGTATACAGTAGAAACTGAGAGTTTTCTCATTCCTTTTTTTTTTTAGTACATGCATGTACATACATGCATCACATTTTAAACCAATGTATTTTAAACCAATGTATATAGACATTAAAATTAAAGGTTACTTATAGAACCTTTCTTCAGATTTAAACACATTGTTCAGTCTTAAGGTCTGAAATGAGTGAAAAGTATAAGTTCAGCTTTTGGTCATGATCATTAATTTGTTTGGAATCTTTTCCAGTTTTTAATTTGCAGAACTCATGTAAAATGCAGTAAGTAATAATTTTTTGTTTGTTTGTTTGTTTTACTTCAAATGTCAATATGTAAATTTAAAATTCAGCTAATGATATGCCACAATTTAGTATGAATTTTTATTGAGTGTCATCAAACCAAAACAAAAGTAACCACTCAGGAAAATCACAAAAATAGCTGACAATCCAGTGAACCCATCCAAATTTGAAGGAAATACATTTTTCCAGCAGGAAGTCAGAATTGGTTTTGGTTTTTCTTCTCATTTGTTGAGAAAATGATGTGTGTTCTTTGAACATAATATTACAAAAGAGAGGAAAATGTCAAATACATTGGACACTGGAGTGTAAATCACTCTACTAAACATAACAACAGACGGAAGCTTGTTTTGGGAACAGACAGATTATTACTGGGATACCTGTGGTGGCCCAGTCATAAAATGCCTTTGTTTTTTTTGTCGTCTTTTTTTTTTTTTTTTTTTTCGCAATAGTAATTGCGCAATAGTAACCAGAGGTCATTGGGCCCTCAACACCATGACAACTAACTGTGATCCAATGAGGTGTTCACATGCTGATCACGCGTGCTATCTTGATGATGATTGACGTTGTCATGCACGGACAGGGCCGTGTCACATGACGAACACGAGATTTTTGCCCATAAAACTCTTGTCAGTCGTTTCGTATTTCAACAAGTTTGGATTACGATCATCTGGAGCATTATGGCGCAAACGCTCAAAATACTTATAGACGCATACACAAGTCGTATTGTTCGCGGCCAATCCACACAAAAAGATGTTATTGAGCGGTAATTTTGGAACGGACTGAATCGCGAACGCTTGAAAGCCATGAAAGCATTGAATGCCTTGTATGTCTTGTATGCCAAGTATGCCAATGTCTTAGTTGAAAACGTAAACTCGTTGTGAAAAGCAAAATCTGAAATCTGAAACCAAACTGCATATACTCTATGCAATCTATTGAACAACACTACTACCGTGAGACTGAAGAACAAAATTTAAATGGATGCAAACTGCTTGTGAAGAAAGACGCCATGTTGGATTCACTTGATGCCAGGGAACGTAGCTACGATAACAGTGCGAATGGTATTAATTTCACTATCAGAAAGTTGAATCTTATGTTTGTTGTCATTGTAGTTGTATGGATATCCTTTTTTAATAAATACATGATCCAAAATCCCGTGTTTTTTGTGTATAATGTTATTATGTTAAGTATTGTTTACGCAATTGTCTTGTCACAGGCGGCCCAAGGTCACGTCTCGAGAAAGAGCCAACGATTTATTCACGAACGCGTCACGCGTTGAGTGACTCAGAGTAAGTTATGCTAGGAACCGTTGAAATTTGAACACGTTATAAGGAATAGTATAGGGAACGAAATATGGTCGATTTACAACGATAAATATTTCGAAATATGAAGATTTTTCTCGTAAAATCAATAAAACTTACTCATACCCTGTGTATCCGTTGTAGTTTCTGGCGATTGTTGCCGTTTTAAGCTTGCTTTACCATCACTATTATTCACGTCATCTACTTTTACATTGGTAAAATCTGTACAGACATCACACCAACCAACTCGCACGCAAAGTAAGAAGACTATGTTGAAGGCTTGAAATTATATTACGATCGATTTTCATCAAGAAATGGGCCAGGAATTTTCCACAATAGTGCAAATAATCGTGAAGGCTGATCGCGGAAAAGCGATTGCGTGACGCTCGGTAAGCTGTAAGATGACATGTTATTATATACCAGACGTAAAAACTCTTCAGATTCTCAGTCTGCATTTTGTATCCACTCTGCAGTCTATATTTTGTATCCGGTCTGCAGTCTGCTGTCTGCATTTTGTACTAACAGGTATCAGTGGCACCAATACAGTTTATTTAGTCTTCGTTTTATACTTTCAGCCCGTTGTTTTCCCTTTGTCAGGTGTTTTTGTTGTTAGCCTTTTCTCTCAAACTCTGAATTAAAACGTTGTTACTATCTCCTCATCTAACCACCATTTTGTTTTGTTGTGTTTTCGCGACTTACCTGTCAACCAATTAAATTTTAACTTTCTGCACTCAGTTTTAGCTTTCTGCCCGCAATTTTAGCTTTTTTCACTGTTTGGGATTAATTCACGTGTTCTCATCCAATGAGCATGCTGAAATTTTTGCAAAGACTACAAATTGCACTCGCTCTACGGGCTTGTGTAATTTTGTTGTCATTGAAAAATTTACTCTGGCTTATTAACACCAAATTGCACTCGAAATCATGTCATTACCTGTACTTATCGCATCCATTTTGAAATCACTAGTGATCTTTGAAATCTAATTGGCTCTCATTGGTGCGATTTATTAAAAATTTTTTGAAAAATTTCACACGTTGATATTTACAGAATGGAGCTAACGTTTACGGTTGTCTATATTGAAACACACAGCTATTTTAAAATAAGTATTATGGATCTTTTGTTCTACTTAACAAATAGATTCCATGTTGCTATGCGTCTGTACAGCTGAAACAGATCACAGATGATGTAAAGAACAAAAAAATGTTACACGAGGCGCCAACTCAGATTTCCTGACCAAATTTTTACGTCTTCTGTATTACTGTACAGACCTGTGGCAACACACATAGAATCTATTTATTTTATATCATAAAGAAGCGAAAAATGTTTAAGGTGGCGTTATCTAGACGTCTGTCTTCCAATAAATTTTGGGTAAGAACCAATCAATATACGTTCGTAATTAAGGTTCATTCATAAGTTTGTCTAACTTCCTTATCTACTTTTGTGAGGGAAATGTTATGGCGATGCATGCAAATTTATTGTTACCATAAATTGGGCGTTTTCTTATGGCGAGCGTGAAGTACATACCACTTTATATTGAAGAATAGTAGCGTTGTACAGTTGTAACAGATCTGTTGGGTTCCTTGGAACTGCAAGCGTGAAAAGTTCCTTTTCAGCAGCCAAACTTTTGTCGGTAAACGTTACAGAATGTTTAATTGAGTCCGTCGCGCGTATTCGAGACGCGCTCTAGGTAAATTGTTTAAATTTTCTTCTTCGAGGGAGGAGCACTGAAAAATGTGTTCTTTGTGGTTGTGGTGCGAATGCCTTAAGAGGAGATCGTAAAAACAAGTAGCCTCAGCAAGTTCATTCGTTCAGTGCCTCTACTTTTATCAATTTTTTTTTAAACTTACATCGACTTCGATGCGGGAAGGAGAGCAGCGGTGGTTGCTTGTCGTTCGCCAAAAGGAAAACAGCCAATTGCTTGTTTTTACAATGTGCAATTGGCAAAACTGTGTGATAAGCCTTTTATACCTGCCAACTGTTTTTGAGTTAAAAGCGCGAGAGCTTGTTTTATACTTTGGGTTCTCACGAACTGCCCGAGATATTTTCTTCCTCATTTGATTGATAGTCGTGGCCATGTTGATTTTGGTTCGCGACACTTAATTCAAAAGTTCTCCGACTCCTCAATGATTCAGTCTTTTGGTCTCTGGTGTCAATAATACACATGATCTTAGTGCGCTGATCATTCTTTGTAGACCCAGCTAGTCGCAAATGGACAAGCATCCAAGTTGCTAAAAGTTGATTATTTTCTGGAGACACACTCCTTATTGGCAGTTATAATATACAACCACAGACAACACCCCACGAGAAGAGACTTCTTGGAATTTGTTCCTACTAAAGGAATACGTTAATGGTGTTCCTGTGATTTCAAAGTTTGTGGCTCATTACCAAGGAGAGAATTGAATATTGCTCTGAGTTAGTTTATATCATTTTGCTAGGCTCACAATCTCGAGTTAAGTGATCTTAGGGATTTGTCTCATTTGAATGGAGAATGAGTGAGAGGCCTAATATGAGAAAGGAGATCAATCAATCTAGACATCTATACTGATGGTTACTTGCATTTGTAAACAAAGACTGTAACTGGGCTGGGAAATTGCAAAATGAATCCAGTAAAAATAAAATCAGCAAAAAAACAACCAACAAACAATGAAAGGCAGATACCAAATATTGGAGAAAATGCTTGGGACAACCTCAAATTTCTTTTAATTACTCAGATGACTTCTTTTGATTCCACTTCTTTATTACAATATTTATTGTTCTGAAGACAAAGTAGCATGTATATTTATTACCTAACGGATGGGAATACAAGCTCTAGAAATTTTAATTTGATTTGAATCTGGTTCATGCATGATTCCCCAAAGATTCTCGCCTCTATAATCATAATCCAGTCTCAAGGAACATGGATAAAATCATAAGTTTGCCAACGGAACGTTTTTCCCTTGCTTATAGCAATTCTTGCCCTTCACCCCCGGAAACAATTCCAACTTAAGGTTTGGATGCTCTAAGCGAAGAACCTTTTCAACGTATCCGACGGTTTGTGTGGACATCATAAACTCATTCATAGATGGGTTTAAAGAATTATCACCCATCACACCAAACGCTCCCACGACTCCATAATTATCCTTCCAACAACAGCCCACTGTCCACATTGAGTTTGGAATTGCGATCTTTGGTCCGAGTGCGGGGTATATATTTACGTTGTCATGGAACCACTCCATTGGTTTCACCGACTTATCCACCCCGGTTATTTGGCCTTGAAGATTAAGTATCTCTTCAAATTTAACCTGTGATGTACCAGTGATCAGGTAAAGAGTTCCTATGTTTGAAGCACAACAATCCTGGGCATATTTTACTATTTTCCCTTCGTGCATTTTCCACTGACTTTTGTTGAAATTTCCATTTTGCGGTACGCGGTTGGTGTAGGTGAAAGTGGCATAAACACTTTCATCGCTGTAACTTAAGATATTAACAGGAACGACGTGGCCTCTCTCGTATTTTAAGTTACCCTGGAAAGGTTGGTTTTCTTACAATTGTTCACTTCCTTGACGAATCCCTGATCATGAGAGAGATTTAAAGTACACTGATGTCACTTACAAGCCAAGAAATTTTGTAACGATGGTACAAATATTCTTAACAATAAAATCCCCTGATGAGTGAGCAATCACGAAACAGGCTTGTAGGGATGAAAGTATAGTCTCTGTTTTTTACCCCTATCACAACATATGTATACATATATGTATATATTTCCTAATGTTTTAACTTTAAGTTTACGAAATATTCGCATGACCTCATCTCAGCATCTTATCGATCGCATAAGGAGTGCGTGAAAGAGCAAAACAACACGGACGAACGTTGTAGTAGTGGAATGAATATTTTTTTTCCTGAATTTTTTCACCACAAACGTAAATCATAACAGTAATACCAATTACCTTACCTGATGTCTGATTCAGATGCCATGGGTCACCTCTAGATCTTTTTACTAGGCCTGCCTTGACATCCATGGCTTGTTTGGCGGTAATCTTTTAGAGTGCAATTCCCAAATCATTATCGTAGAGAGTGGCGTAATACTCGCCTTGGCAGAGGGGAAGGATGACACCTGGCTGCTCTGGAAAGATTGGTTTTTCATCACCCAGTGAGAACGAGTCAAGATTGCACCCTGTTACCATGCGACGTGCTTGTTGTTCGCCTAGGTGTTTTCGTTGCTCATCATAATCTTTGACGCAAGAGAAAGTTGTCTTTTTATTCATATTATCACATGATTCTCAAAATTATGCTATATTTTATTAATCTTATCCTTTATAGAGCTTCTTCATTCGGAAGAAGATGATGACTACCTCCTCAGGGGTCCGTGTGTTATTCTTCCATTCGATTCTCACTCGAGGGCAATGATAAAAGTTAATATTTCAATCTTTAATAAATCAGTTTTTGTGAATTGTTTTGCAGAACAAAATTAGACCTCAAGTAAGAATATTTATCTTTCGGTAAAACATTCTTCAAAGAAATGCTGTTTAGGATCATTTGTAATTTTCACGTTAGCTCTACGAGCTCTACAAGAATTGAGTTTTTGTTTACGAATGCCTACACGAAACCGGTCATTTGTTATTTATCGCTTGGGAGAAAGGAGGGCAGTAAGGAGAGGGGGGCTTGTAGTATTCTAATGATCCCCACTCGTTTACAATCAATTTCGTATAGTTCTTCTTTTATACTCAGCTCCATAAGCAACGACTGATCCCCCTTCAAGAGCCCGTCCGAGCCCGTCCCCCTTTCATTTTCCTGAAAACCATATGACCCCCCCCCCGAAAAAATACTTTGGCCCCAAAATCCTTCTTCCACCCTTATTCCCCGCGCCCCCCCCATGCCATAAATGTTAGTTGCTCCCTAATGAAGAATTAATGATGTATTGTTCCGGTTAGGGATAATTTGAAAAAATCTTTGAAACACGTTTCATTGGCCATGAAGACCAAAATTGAAAACTAACTGTAGGCTCTCCGTTTTGTTTCAATTCTTAAGAGGACTGACTTGCCGTGTAAACCTCTTTGAAGACTAACCTTACCTTCCGCAGTTTAGTCAACGTTTATCAAACTTTCGCTAAGTCATCTGCCATCCTCACAAAGTTTAAAAAATGAAAAAAGACGAAAACTCGGAACAATTTTCAATAAGCCGTTTGCTCGCCCCATCGAGCGTACACCAAAATCTCAGTTTTCTTCTCATCCTTAACATATGATGCAACGATTTGCTTGTAATTACTAAAATTATCAAAGAAAAAACTTCCGTGAGATAAAAATTAAAGTGAATCATGTTCTTTTATTCTACTGTAAATTGTTTTTAGCAGGTAACAGATAGTGTTACTCAAAGTTTGATTTTTACTAGAAGTAAATCGTTCAAAATTTGTCGATCAAACATCAATATGCGAAGGTTTGTGTTTAGATCTATTATCGGAATCGAATTAACAACCGACACAGAATCCACCGCTTGAACAGGCTTGCTCTATGTTTGCAAAAATGTAAAAGTAACTACCGCCCTTAAAGTTGTGTCTACTGAAGAACTGTAGCGTTTGAAACTGAGAAAAAAAATCTTCGCCGTAAAATTAGTTCCAAGGGTGCCTTTGACAAACTTTGCACGCCCGCTCGCGTTTGAGTTACAGTCTCAGATCGCTTATTCGGGAGCCAGTTAATTCAATGAATGCAGTATGCGTGTGTGAAAGGGATTCGACATAAAGGGAACACGTATTTACCTTTTCGTGAGGTTTTTTCCAGATTTGTTGCGGCCCATTTAAAAGTGGTTAGCTGAACTGCTAAAAGCAACGCGAAGGGGAAAGCGAAACTGTTTTTATTCTGTCTGCGTACCGTGGCCATTGCTACCGTCACTGTGCTGGGTAACTCGGAATGTAAAGTTATCACATATTTCATTCCAGCGTCGTTGGTGACTCGAGTCTATTTGAAAAACTTTTGTAGAAAAAAGAAGATCAAAACCCTGAAAATATTCCTTGATTTGGATACCTATGAGCACAAAGATGTGAAAGTCAAGGCTCTTTGAAAGTAATTCCCCAAACGGAACGAAGTCAACATTATAGGGTGTAAACATTACAACTTGAAAACACGAATGATCAAGTCGCATTTTGAGTTTAGTCCTCAGTTCTTTTGACTGGTTGATTGATTGGCAACACTTGCGAGTATGCCGTCAATATCAGCGCTTCTGCACGGGCGTTTCTTCGCTCACGACAAAGTAAGTATGCGGCCGTGAGGGGAAAAAAAAAACCAGCGAGGCAAGGGGTCTAGGCTCATTATAAGTGCCACACCCTCCCTGCAAACATTTCCCCAGGCTCGTCACAAATCTTCTTGTGGCCGGAGAAACGCGCGTATTGCAGGGCCAAAAATGATCGATGGCCTGCTCGCCTGCGGCTTCTCGTAAAATACGATCGTTCAAGTTTACAAACCAATCGCGGAGTGCAATGAGGCAAAAGAAATCCATCACGGGTAATTAAGCTTAGGTACTCATTTGAAAATTGCTGTGAGTTAGATCATGTGATTTTGTCACGGCCCACTCTCTCGAATAAAATAATCGTAGGGATTTGTCTTACTCGAATGGAGAAATGATTGAGAGGTCTAATCTAGAAAGTTATATGGATTGATTCCCTGCGAATGTGAACGAAGCCTCTTAACTAGGGTGGGAAATTACTCAAATCGAGTTAACAAGTAAAGGCCAGGATATACCGTTAGATATCAGATCTTCGACAAAATGTTTGAGACAACCTTAAATTTCATTTAATTTCTTATATCACACTTAATTGATTCTTTGATTCTACTTATTCGTTACAATATGTATTGCATATTGCATTACAATATGTATTGCATATTGCATATATCTGTACATGCATATTTTGAACATATAGGATGGAAATACAAGCTTTAAACACCTTTTTCTAAACGAGTTCGTGACTAACAGTACAGCCCGAAAAAGCGAGTTACTAAGATATTTGTTATATTTTCGGGTTCAAATAGATGAGGAAGATTTCAACTTAAACAAAGATTTGAATTTAGTGAGACGTACAGTGAAATACGGCCCGCTTAATTGACCAGTCATAGCACACGTATTTATTACGTAGATATGTACATTGATCTGAATCTGGTTATTTCATCCAAGATGCCCCTCAGATTTCTGTCAAGGATTTTACCCATACTCCTTTCAAGAAACCTAATAAAATCATATATCATTCAATTTAACGTTTTTTTCTGGATCATAGCAATCTCCGCCGCTAGGAAACAATTTAATTGTTGAATCCTCTAATTTAAGGGCGCTTTCAACATATGCGACGGTTTGTCTAGACATCATAAATTTATTTAAGCGCTTTTTGTTAATAGAATTATCACCCATTACACCAAACGCTCCCACGACTTCATTGTTAAAGTTCAAACAACAGCCCACCGTCCACATCGAGTTCGGAATTGCGATCCTGTCGTTTACATACGCGTTCTTATGGAACCATTGCAGAGGTTCCTTCCACCCTGTCATTTCTTGACCATATAGTGTCCAAACAAACTTAACCTTCGATGTGCCAGTGATTAGGTAAAGAGTTCCGCCGTTCTGAGAACAAGTTTTCCGGGCGTATATCTTTATTTTCCTTTCGTACTTGTTCCACTGACCTCTGTTGAAACCTGCAATTTGTGGCACGCAGTTGGTGTAGATGAAAGTATCACGAGCACTTTTATGGCTGTAACTTAAGATGTTAACAGGAACCAGATGGCCTTTATCGTATGTACCCTGGATAGGTTGGTTCTGATACAATGCTTTGCTTCCTTGACGAATATCTGAACAGGAGAGAATTTTAAAGTACACTGATGTCACCTACAAGCCAAGAAATTTTGTTGTCGATTGATCCGCCATGTAAATAAAGTTCTTACCCTCCCGATCACAGTTACGAAATGTTTAAGTGAAAGAGCTCATTTAGGTCAAAGAAATGATTTGCTCAACATGATTAAACCATCGATCATGCATGACTTTTATCACAAGTTTCTCTTCTTTCCTTTCGTAATTTTGCTCCTTCTATCAGCAGTGTAAAACCTTCGCATGTTTTGTATGTACCGTTGCCCTAATGTGGTAAATAGCGTGATAGAATGATGATACATAATATAAATGTATGTCTACCTAATATCTATCTATATATCTACCCAACTATATATCCATCTATCTACCTATGTCTATCTATCTATCTATATATAAAAACACATTCCTATATATATATATGTATATATATATATATATATATATGCGTATACACCCGTTTTCAAAAACGTTTCAATTTGAAAAAAAAGAATTATTAAATATATAAAACTTTTTTTTCTCATCAAAAAGTGTCTCTTTTTAATGTATGTCTGTATATATATTTATGTTGAGATAGGAAGAAACCAAGAGACTATACTTTTATCCTTACAAGCCTATTTCGTGATTGCTCACGCATTAGGGGATTTATACAATATGTATCGCGCTCTACTTCCGCGTATCGAGCACTGTACAACGGAAAAATCAAAACACAGGCTTTCTATATATATACATGTATATATTTCCTAGTGTTTTAACTTTAAGTTTACGAAATACTCGCATAACCTCATATCAGCATCTTATCGATCGCATTAGGAGTGCGTGAAAGACCAAAACAACACGAACAAACGGACGTTGTAGTCGTGGAATGGGGAACGAATTTATTTTTTTCCTAAATTTCTTCATTACAAAAGTAAATTTTAACAGTAACAGTAATTAACTTACCTGGCGTCTGATTCGATTTCCATGGGTCACCTCTAGGTCTCCCTACTTTGGCTGCCGTGGCTTGTGCGGCGGTAATCTTGTAGAGTGAGTAACGCGCAATTCCCAAATTGTTATCGTAGAGAGTGGCGTAATACTCGCCTTGGCAGAGGGGAAGGGTGACACCTGGCTGCTCTGGAAAGGTTGGTTTACTATTACCCAATGAGAATGAGTCAAGATCGCACTCTATTTCCATGCTACGTAGTGGTTGTTCACCCAGGTGTTTTCCTTGCTCATCATAATCTTTGACACAAGAAAAGGTTGTTTTTTTATTCATATTACCACACGTTTCTCAAAATTATGCTATATGCTTATCCTTCATAGAACATCTTCGTTCGGATGAAGATGACGACTACCTCCTTAGGGGTCCGTGTGTTATTCTTCCATTCGATTCTCACTCAAGGGCAATGATAAAAGTTACTATTTCAATCTTTGATAAATCAGGTTTTTTTTAAATCATTTTGCTGAACAAAATTAGACCTCGATTAAGAATATCTGTCTTTCTATAAAACGTTCTTCAGAGAAATGCAGTTTAGGATCATTTGTAATTTTCATGTTAAATCTTTTTGGAGAAACAGTTTTTTTAAATTTTTCTTCTTAAACCTCGAGTAAGAATATCTGTCGTTCCGTAAAAAATTCTTCAAAGAAATGCAGTTTAGGATTATTTGCAATTTTCACGTAAGCTCTATGAGCTCTACAAGAATTGAGTTTTCATAGACGAATGCATGCAAGGAACCAGTCATTTGTCATTTATCGCCTGGGAAAAAAGGAGGGTAGGGGGAGGGGAGGGGAGAGAGGGGGGGAGGGGGTGTAGTATTCTAATGATCCCCACTCATTTACAGTCAATTTCCTATTGTTCTGCTTATCTACTCTGTAATCAACGACTAATCCCCCTTTTCATTCTCCTGAAAACCATGTGAGCCCTCCTCCCCCCAAAAAATAATACTTCGGCTCCAAATATCCTTCCTCCATCCCTCATCCCCCCTCCCCTCCCCCCATGCGATAAATGTTGTTGGTTGCTCCCTAATGCAGAATTAATGATGTATTGTTACGGTTAGGAAAAATTTGAAAACATCTTTGTAACATGTTTAATTGGCCATGAAGACCAAAATTGAAAGCTGAACTAAGAGTTTGAGGAAGGAGGCTCTCTTTTTCTTTCAATTCTTTGGAGGACTGACGTACTGTGTAAACTTCTTTGAAGACTAGCGTAACCTTTGCTCAGTTTAGTCAACGTTTATCTAACTTTCGCTAAGTCGTCTACCATCTTTACAAAATTAAAAAAAGAAGAAAACTCGATACAAAAGACAATTTTCAATTGACCGTTTGCTCTTCCCATCGAGCGTACACCAAATAACTCAGCTTTTCTCTTTCCCTAAAGATGCAACGATTTGCTTGTAATTACTAAAATTCACTTCCGTCAAATTAAAATTTAAGTCCATCATAAGTTCTTTTGTTTTACTGTAAATTGTTTTCAGCAAGTAACAGATAGTTACTCAAAGTTTAATTTTGTCTATACATAGTTCAAAATTTGTCGATCAAACATCAATATGTGAATGTTTACGTTTAGATCTATTATCGGAATCGAATTAACAACCCACACAGAATCCGCCGCTTGAACAGGCTTGCTCTATGTTTGAAAAAATGTAAAAGTAACTACCGCCCTTTAATGTGTGTCTACTGAAGAACTGTAGCGTTTGAAACTGAGAAAAAAATATCCACGTAAAAATAAGTTCCAAGGGTGCCTCAGACAAACTTTGCACGCCCGCTCGCGTTTGAGTTACAGTCCCAGAGTGCTTATTCGGGAGCAACGCTTAATCCAACGAATACAATTTGCGTGTGAGAAAGGGATTCGACATATAGGGAACACCTTTTTACCTTTTCCTGAGGTTTTTGTCACATTCGTTGCAGCCCATGTAAAAGTGATAAGCTGAACTGCTACAAGCAACGCCAAGGGGAAAGCGAAACCAAGAAAGTTCATCTTCACCGTATCGTCACAAAGGGGTACAACTGTCTAGGGTTATCTCGACTGCTTAGCTGTGTGATCTCTTCACTATGTTATGTTCTTATAAGCTTTAAGATTTTTGTGACAGAATACAGTACATAATTTATCTCGTCACAATTACCACAGAGGAATTCATGTCATCTTAATGGATCTCATGGTTCACTTTGTCTCAATTTTTTTTGACATCTAATGTTGTCATCGACCAGCAAAAATCTCTTTTCAAAGCTAAAAGGGCTGCTTGAAACAAAAGATGTGAATACCTACAGGAAATAGAGAAGAACTTTTAAAGTATCTTATTACACTCAGTCTGCTTGAATAACCGGTTGATTTCGACTCTATTGCTAATGACCTTTGGAAATTTTTTGCCCGAGTCAACCTGTTAGTTAATAAATACCTTTAAGGGAAATATTTTTACAAATGTTTTTAGCTTCCTCCCGGGAAAACATAGCAACCGAATATTTTCAGCTGACAAATAGGCCACTAAGAACTATGTTTCCATCTGAAATGTGAAGCTTTTGGCCCCCAAAAATCCTTCTTTCACCCTTCATTGCCCCCTCCCCCATGTGATAAATGTTGGTTGCTCCCTAATGCAGAATTTAATGATGTATTGTTACGGTTAGGAAAAATTTGAAAACATCTTTGAGACACGTTTAATCGGCCATGAAGACCAAAATTGAAAGCTGACGGTAGAGTTTGAGGAAGGAGGCTCTCTTTTTCTTTCAATTCTTTGGAGGACTGGCTTACCGTGTAAACTTCTTTGAAGACTAGCGTAACCTTCCACAGTTTAGTCAACGTTTATCTAACTTTCGCTAAGTTATCTACCATCCTCACAAAATTAAAAAAAAGACGAAAACTCGAAACAAAAGTCAATTTTCAATTACGCTTTGCTCGGCCATCGAGCGTACACCAAATATCTAAGTTTTCTTCTTATCCTAAAGATGCAATGATTTGCTTGTAATTACTAGAATTCTCTGAGAAAAAACTTCCGTCAAATTAAAATTAAAGTAAATCGTAAGTTCTTTATTCCACTGTAAATTGTTTTCAGCAGGTAACAGATAGTGTTACTCAAAGTTTAATTTTGTCTAGAAGTAAATGGTTCAAAATTTGTCGATCAAACATCAATATGTGGAGGTTTACCTTTAGATCTATTATCGGAATCGAATTAACAACCCACACAGAATCCACTGCTTGAACAGGCTTGCTCTATGTTTGCAAAAATGTAAAAGTAACTACCGCCCTTAAAGTTGTGTCTACTGAAGAACTGTAGCGTTTGAAACTGAGAAAAAAATCTTCGCCGTAAAATAAGTTTCTAGGGTGCCTCAGACAAACTTTGCACGCCCGCTCGCGTTTGAGTTACAGTCTCATATGGCTTATTCGGGAGCAACGCTTAATCTAATGAATACAGTATGCGTGTGCTAAAGAGATTCGACATAAAGGGAACCCTTTTTACCTTACCTGAGGTTTTTGTCACATTCATTGCAGCCCATGTAAAAGTGTTGAGCTGAACTGCTACAAGCAACGCCAAGGGTAAAGCGAAACAAGGAAAGTTCATCTTCACCGTATTGTCACAAAGGCGTACAACTGTCCAGGCTTATCTCGACTGCTTAGCTGTTGTGATCTCTTCACTATGTTTAAGATTTTGTGATAGAAGACAGTACATAATCTATGTCGTCACAGTTACCACAGAGGAATTCACGACATCTTAATGGATCTCATGGTTGACTTTGTCTCAATTTTTTTTTGACATCCAATGTTGTCATCGTGTAGAAAAAGTCTTTCTTCAATGCTAAAAGGACTGCTTGAAACAAAAGATGTGAAAACAGGTAATAGAGAAAAGCTTTTAAAGTATCTTATGACACTCAGTCTGATTGAATAACCAAACTCTAGACTCAAGACTAATGCTCTTTACTCTAATGCTGGTGACCTTAGCAATGTTTTGCCTTAGTCAACCTGTTAGTTAATAAATACCTAAGGGAAAGTTTTTTACAACTGTTTAAGCTTCTCCTCAGGAAAACACTAGCAACAGAACATTTTCATCTGACAAATAAGCCACTAAGTAATATGTTTTCATCCGAAATATGAAAAACGATTTTTGCCTTAAGTCCGGTCCTGACTAATACCCCAGGAACTCAGACTCTGTCATTTTGGTCTTGTCCTCCAGTGATTGAGAAGCATACAATGTTATCAAAGGACGAAAACTGAATTAGTTGCAGGCGTAAGCTAAATGAAAAGTTTCACGAACAGAATGGCCAGTGTAGGAGTGATTCTCAAGTTAAATACAACCAGACTGCCTAAACATGGGTCACTAAGTTGTGATTGGTTTCAATTTTGCATCTGATTGGTTGAGAGAGTGACTCGAGCTTTCAGAACCAATCACAGAACGAAGTAAAGTTAAATCAATGCAATCCTTGATTACTTTCGACACTCAATTGAAAATTTCTCTAATGATAATAATAAATGCTTAAAAAATGGTTAATGATAATGATAAAAAGCCTAATTCTGATCTAAGATGAAACGAACTCTTCATACAAATAAACTTTCCTACCTAACTACATAGACATCTACAATTATAAATTTCAGCTACAATTTTTTAAAATAAATCGATCCTCTAAATAGTTTCTGAAATTAAGTTATATTTAAGACAATCAGGGAATAAAGAAAGCTGATTTTTTCGGTCTTTCTCTAACGTTCACTACCAAATAAACTGCCCCTTAAAAGTTAAAGAGATAAGGAGGAACTATATTTTCATTTCCTATATCGGACTAGTCGTTTCTTCCTGAAACTAAACAGTTTGCATTTTTAGACAAGAAACAGACATAATGCAGTCATGAGAAATACGAATAGTCATTTTGAAAGCTGTCTTTGAAAAATATGATATATGTAAAACTCTATGGATGTGTAAAATTTTGATTTCCTTACACCCACACCCTGCAGTTTCATTTGCTTCACTTGATGCCATAGAAACGCTGCTCGCCTCTGGGCGAATGTCATCGCGAGTTATTGTGAGGATTTGGGTTTTTCTCGGTGGGATCACTGGGGAAATTCCGTTGACGTTGACGCCAATTTGAACAATATATAGAGGCGAAAGCTAAAATGTCATCGAAAGCATCAAAAAATAGAATAAAGCAAGGATGAGGAGAGGGAAAAATGAAGGAAAAATAAAAAGGTAGAAAAGGGAAGGAAAGACTTTCAGTGAATCCCCATTTTGTTACGCTCACAGTCTGTCTACATTATGAAGTTTTTCTTCTGTTTGCGCACTGCGGCCATTGCTACCGTTACTGTACTGAGTAAATTGAAATTTAAAGTTTTTACACATTCCACCCCAAATGTCTGTGGTGACTTGAGTCTCGTTGCGAAAATTTTGTTCAGAAAACAAGATCCAAAGCCTGAAAATATTCCTTAGTTTGGATAACTATGAGCAGAAATATGTGAAAGTCGAAGCTCTTTGACGGACATTCAGGAAAACTTTACCAAAGAGTTATAATCAGAAGTTACGAGTTACTCGGAAGGACTCTCCCATATTCTTCAGGAGCTACGGCCTTGCAATCAAGCGGACTAGGTCCCTATGGAATATTAGGATTAAATCTATATTACAATCATTATTGTTATTATTAGTATTCCAAGTTCCTGTAAGCTAGCACTCCAGGCCACCATCCTTGTTTGATCTTTTTCTCAACCCTTAAATAAATCAATTTGCAATGGACTTAGCTCTCCTTAAGTGAGAATACTCTGCGAAATGATTCCCATATTTCCACCTACTAAAGATTCGATTTTTACCGTGATTCGTTAAGTTTTCGTACTGTATTTCTTTACGATGTTGAATTCGCAATGGGAATCACACAATCGAATTTGAGCGTTTATTGATCAAGTGACGTAAGACCAAGACTAAAGTAATTCCCCAAACGGAAAAAAGTAAACATTACAGGATGTAAACATTACAAGGTTTATGAGAGCTGAAAGTAAACGCCACGATTAGAGATTTAAGTTTAGTCCTTCTTCTGATTGGTTGATTGATTGCCAAAAACTTGCGAGTGGGCCGTCAATATCAGCACTTCTACGCGGGCGTTTCTTTACCCGCGACAAAGTAAGTATTAGACCGTGAGAAAAAAAAAAAAAAAAAAAAAAAACGGGCGAGGCAAGGGATCTAGGCTCATTTTTATTGCCGCGTCCTCCCACTTCAGACAACAAACACTTCCCCAGGCTCGAGACAAATTTTCTTGTGAGCGGAGAAACGCACGTGCCGCAGAGCCATTAATGATCGAGGGCCTGCTCGCCTGCTCGTAGGATACAATCGCACAAGTTTATAAAACAATCGCGGGGTGTAATTAGGCAAAAGAAATGCATCACGGGTAATTAAGCTCAGGCACTCATTTGAAGATTGCTGTGAGTTAGATCATGTGATTTTGTCACGGCCCACACTCTCGAGTAAAATGATGTGAGGGATTTGTCTCATTCGAATGGAGAAATGACTCACAGGACTAATCTAGAAAGTTATGTGGATTGGTTCCCTGCGAATTTCAACGAAGCCTCTTAACTGGGGTGGGAAATTACTTTAAAAAAATCCAGTTGAGAAGTAAAGACCAGGATATACCATTACATATCAAATCTTCGACAAAATGTTTATATTAACAACCTTAAATTTCGTTTAATTTCTTAGATCACAGTTTATTGATTCGTTGATTCCACAGGGGTCCGTGTGTTATTCTTCCATTCGATTCTCACTCTGGGGTAATGATAAAAGTTAATATTTCAATCTTTGATAAATCAGCTTTTTTTAATTGTTTTGCTGAACAAAATTAGAGCTCGATTGAGAATATCTGTCTTTCTGTAAAACGTTCTTTAAAGAAATGCAGTTTAGGATTATTTGTAATTTTCATGTTAGCTCTATGAGTTCTACAACAATTTTTTCCGAAAAAAAGTTTTTTAAAATTGTTTTGCTGAACAAAATTAGACCTCGAGTAGGAATGTCTGTCTTTCCGTAAAACATTCTTCAAAGAAATGCAGTTTAGGATTATTTGTAATTTTCATGTTAGCTCTATGAGCTCTACAACAATTAAATTTTCGTATACAAATCAATGAACCGGTCATTTGTCTTTTATCGCCTGGGAAAAAGGGGGGGGGGGGATGGGAGGGGGGTTGTTGTAGTATTCTAATGATCCCCACTCATCTACAATCAATTTCCTATAGTTTTCCTTTTATACTCTGTAAAACAACGACCGATCCCCATTTCGTTCTCTTGAAAACCATATGAACCCCCCTAAAAAGTACTTTGGCCCCTTAAAATCCTCCTTCCATTCCCCCCTCTCCCCCCATGTGATAAATGTTGGTTGCTCCCTAATGCAGAATTAATGGTGTATTGTTCCGGTTAGGAGAAATTTGAAAAAATCTTTGAAACACATTTCATCAGCCATGATGACCAAAATTGAAAACTGACCGTAGAGTTTGAGGAAGGAGGCTCTCTATTTCTTTGAATTCTTTGGAGGACTGACTTGCCGTGTAAACTTCTTTGAAGACTAGCGTAACCTAGCGCAGTTTAGCCAACGTTTATCTAACCTTCGCTAGGTCATCTGCCATCCTCACAAAGTTAAAAAAAGAAAAGAGATGAAAACTCGAAACGAAAGTCAATTTTCAATTAGTCGCTTGATCGGCCCATCGAGCGTACACCAAACATCTCAGTTTTCTTTTTGTACTAAAGATGCAACGATTTGCTCGCTAAACTTCCCTAGGAAAAAACTTCCGTGAGATAAAAATTAAAGTCCATCACAATTTCTTTTGTGCTACTGTAAATTGTTTTCAGCAGGTAACAAATAGTGTATCTCAAAGTTTAATCTTTTTCTAGAAGTACATAGTTCAAAATTTGTCGATCAAACATCCATATGTGAAGGTTTATGTTTAGATCTACTGTCGGAATCGTTGTTTGCAAAAATTTAAAAGTAACTACCGCTCTTAAAGGTGTGTCTACTGAAGAACTGTAGCGTTTGAGACTGGAAAAAAAATTTCCGCTGTAAAATAAGTTTCAAGGGTGCCTTAGACAAACTTTGCACGCCCGCTCGCGTTTGAGTTACAGTTTCAGATGGCTTATGCAGGAGCAACGCTTAATCCAATGAATACAGTATGCGTGTGCTGAAGAGATTCGACATAAAAGGAACACTTTTTTACCTTTTCCTGATGTTTTTGTCACATTCGTTGCAGCCCATGTTAAAGTGGTTAGCTGAACTACTACAAGCAACGCCAAGGGGAAAGCGAAACGAAGAAAGTTCATCTTCACCGTATCGTCACAAAGGGGTACAACTGTCTAGGGTTATCTTGACTGCTTAGCTGTGTGATCTCTCCACTATGTTGTGTTCTTATAAGCTTTAAGATTTTTGTGACAGAATACATTACATAATTTATCTCGTCACAATTACCACATAAGAATTCATGGCATCTTAATGGATCTCATGGTTCACTTTGGTTCAATTTTTTTTTGACATCCAATGTTGTCATCGTGTAGAAAAAACCTTTCTTCAAAGCTAAAAGGGCTGCTTGAAACAAAAGATGTGAATACCTACAGGAAATAGAGAAGAACTTTTTAAAGTATCTTATGACACCCAGTCTGATTGAATAAGCAGTTGATTTCGAATCTACTGCTGTTGACCTCAGAAATTTTTTGCCCAAGTCAACCTGTAAGTCAATAGATACCTTTAAGAGAAATATTTTTACAAATGCTTTAACTTCTTCTCGGAAAAAAATTTGCAACCGAACATTTTCAGTTGACAAATAGGCCACTAATTAATATGTCTTTATCCGAAATATGAAGCTCTTGGACCCCATATCCTCACTCCAACTACTTACAAAAACTCTTACATATTTAAAATATATCAAAGTTCACACGGTAACCAGGTGGACAATGAGACATGGTTTGATGCTACTCTGGTTTGCAGATTTAATGAATGTAACCGAAGAAGTTTCAATTCATAGACCCAATGTTTCGACACTCCTGTCTAGTGCCTTCATCAGGGGTGATCTAAACGCTGCAACAAGAGGTCCTTTTATATGATCACTAATTAGCGGTCTTTTTTCTGACGAGGTGTAAATGGGCGTCAGGAAGCAAACCGCCATTGTCACGATTTAAATGAGCGTGGGCGGAGTTAATGCCAAGCCTCCAAACAAAGGCGCTGGTGGTAACACCGGTTAGCGGTGATAATTTTAGAATTATCCCACCCAATTGTTTGGTTGGTTAGACATGTGTACTCTGATAAAGCAGAATTTTCCTTTTTGCAAAAGAAAACCGCTTTTTGATGCTCTTTTAAACGTGTACCAAACTGACGTTTGGTCTGTCCGATGTATTCGTGGTCACAGTCATTGCATGGAATAGAATAAATAGCGTCGGTTCGTTGTTCTTTCGTGACAGGATCCTTAGGTTTGGCGAAAATATGCCCCAAAGTCTGAAAAGGTTTTTGCGCAACTTTAACGTTGTGGCTATTTAAAATTCTCTTGATGGGTTCGGTAACACCTTGAATGTAAGGAATAACAGGAAAACCAGTAGCTGGTTCCCTTTCATCAAGAGCGTTACTAGTTGTAACTGGTTTTTGGCAGTCACGGAAAAAGGTTTTTGTATAGCCATTTGCCTTTAGGACATTAGAAACATATTTTCTCTCCTCAACCTTCGAATCAAGTGAAGATGGTAGACATTCAGCCCTCCTAAGTAAAGTTTTGGCTACAGACTTTTTATGGCAAATAGCGTGGTGAGAATCGAAAGCGAGGTATTTGTCGGTGTGAGAAGGTTTACGGTAGACACTTGTCTCTAAATTACCCTGAACCCCTCTGGACACATTTAAATCAAGAAAAGGCAAATGTCTATCCTTTTCACTCTCAAGGGTGAATTGGATCGAAGGCTCTACTGAATTCAAATGCGACAGGAGGTACTCCGCTTCATTTCCGGATACCGCAGATATAACATCATCGACATATTGTTTCCAGAAAAAGGGTTTAACCGGTGAAGTAGCTTAGGCTCTTTGTTCCACGTCTTCCATTACCATGTTAGCAATGACAGCAGAGACAGGCGAACCCATCGCTGTACCAAAAACTTGTTGATAGTGGGTGCCGTTATATGTACATTGCGTGGTTTTGAGGCAAAAAGTCAGCAGAGGAATAATATCCTCCACAGGCAAAGAAGTTCTTAGTCCTAGGGAGGCATCTTCTCTGAGTCTCTCCTCCGCAACCTTAACGGCAGGTTCAACTGGGATTTTAGTGAAGAGCGAAACAACGTCGAAAGGTACTAGTTCTTCACAAGCGTTGAGAGTTTTATCTCTTATAAAATCCGCAAATTCGCAGGAATTTTTGACAGTGTAATCAGTATTCCCAACAACAGGCGACAAAATTCTCGTTAGATAACCACAAAAGAGACAATGGGTCTCAAAGGAATTCCCGGTTTATGAATTTTAGATAAGCCATAAAAACGTGGACATAAGCCGTCACTACTGTAGAACATTTTGTACGTAGAGTCACTAATTTTACCAGCTTTTTTCAAATCAAGCAACATTTTGTTTAACTTTCTTTGAGTTTTACTGGTAGGATCAGAGGTTAAGACAGCATACGTACTCTTGTCATTAAGCAGAGACAAAGCTTTGTCGTGATATTGCTGTTTGTCCATAACCACAACACAATTACCCTTGTCAGCAGATAATACGAGCCTGTCCGGATCCTTTTTTAAGAGCTATAAGCGCATTGAAAACATCCTTTTGTATGTTTTTTGGGAGGAGGTTTAGCTCGTATGAGTATGCTGCTTATTTCTGCTATTACCAAATGCCTCTGGTCGTCGTTGAGTTGAGAGATACTCTCCTCAACAGCGGCGACAATTTCGGCAGTCGGTATTTTGCGAGGAGCAATAGCAAACTTCAGACCCTTCTCTAAACCACTCCGTTCCGGCGCGGATAACTCCTTGGAGGAATGGTTCATGACCCATTTTTCTTTCAGAGATGAGCCTGAATTAACAGGAGACCTCTTACTGAGCAAATGACGGAATTTTCTGTCGTCATTCTCTCTCTGTTTGGTAAACGTCTGTAGTTCTTTCGAACTGCAGAACTCCTCCACCTAAGAAGTTTCGGAGTTGTTAATCAAAGCAGAGAGTTCACTGAGTGAACGAGAGAATAACGCACGCAAACGCAGTATGAAACTTTGACATTCATCTATTCGTAGCTTAAGAAAAGAAAAACCAGCACGGACCATGAGCTTGTATCCTCTGGCACTCCGTAAAGGAGGCCGAAATCTCAAACTCGATGGAATGACATAGTTTTCTTTACAACGGTGCTTGAAATACAAATGACAGCGATACTTAGTAATGCGAACTCTGATGTTCACGAGCCGGTTGACCTTTGAAACAACAGTATGACCGTACTTTTCTCGCAAATGAAATATATTAAAGTTCACACGGCAACCAGGTGGACAATTAGACCTGGTTTGATGCTACTCTGGTTTGCAGATTTAATGAATGTAAACGAAGAAGTTTCAATTCATAGACCCAATGTTTCGACACTCCTGTCTAGTGCTTTCATCAGGGGTGATCTAAACGCTGCAACAAGAGGTCCTTTTATATGATCACTAATTAGCGGTCTTTTTTCTGACGAGGTGTAAATAGGCGTCAGGAAGCAAACCGCCATCGTCACGATTTAAAGGAGCGTGGGCGGAGTTAATGCCAAGCCTCCAAACAAAGGCGCTGGTGGTAACACCGGTTAGTGGTGATAATTTTAGAATTATCCCACCCAATTGTATGTTAGAGCGTTACTAGTTGTAACTGGTTTTTGGCAGCCAAGGAAAAAGGTTTTTGTATAGCCATTTGCCTTTAGTGAGTGGGATAATTCTAAAATTCTTTGACCCCAAAATCTTTTCGTCCTAATCTTGACTAAGTCAGCTGCCATCCTCACATAAACCACTTAGGAATTTATGGCATCTTAATGGATCTCATGATTCACTTTCTCTCAATTTTTCTTGATATCCCGTGCTGTCATGGTAAGGCGAAATGGACTGCTTGAAACAAAAGATATGCCTACAGGTAACAGGGAAGAGATTGTAAGGCATCTTATAACACCCAGTCTAATGGAATAACCAATTGACTTCGATTCTGATGCTAGTGACCTTTGCAATTTTTTACCTTTGTTAACCTGTAGGTTGATAAATATCTTTCGTGGAAATTTTTACACAAAGGTGCCTCATTTGTTTTATCTTAAATTGAACCAGCAATCAACGTATCTCCTCAAACCCTCGAAAAGTAATGCCTTAAAACCTGTCACTGAGATATTCAATTTGTTAACAACTAACGAAAAAACGGTACTCGATTTTGTCATGATGGAAATCTAGGGCTTACAAGATTGCGCCAATGGTGGTTATAAAATTTTAAAACCTCATTTGGACGTTTTGTGGCTTTCAATGGTTGAAAAGGGAATTTGAATTTTTCCCCGGAAGACCTTTCTGATCAATTTGATACAATTGAAGAAAGTTTTCACAGTGGAATCTCTTTCAGATAGAGGCCAATCGATAAGACTCGTGGATGAATTAATAATTTTACCTTAAGTCCTGTCTAACGCCCCAAGAGCCCAGACTATGTCATTTCGGTCTTGTCCTTCAGTGATTGACAAGCATACAATGTTATCAAAGGACGAAAACTAAGTCAGTTGCAGGCGTAAGCAGAATGATCACATTGATGATTCTCACTTTCTAATCTTTATTATAAATAAACTCTCCTAACTAAATACATCGACAGCTACAATTATAGATTTCAACTACAATTTTTAAAATATATCGATCTACTAAATCTTTTTACAATAAAAATCAACGGTAAAACATGACGTTTCGACCAAACTTCGGTCATTTTCAAGCGAATGGTAAGAATGTAACAATGAATATATATATGTGCGTAAGAAATGTAAAATTTTTGAACGTGTAAACGGACAATAAGAACCCTACAAAAAGAAGAAATAATCAGAAGCTAATTAAAAACAAATAAAAATTAAAACCCTAATTAAAAAGACCTAATTAAGTTTTTAATTAGATTCTAGTTTTAATTAGATTTTTAATTAGGTTTTTTAATTATGTTTTTAACTTTTATTTGTTTTTAATTAGCTTCTAATTATTTCTTCTTTTTGTGGGGTTCTTAGTGTCCGTTTACACATCCAAAAATTTTACATTTCTTACACGCATATATATATATATTTATCGTTACCTTCTTACCATTCGCTTGAAAATGACCGAAGTTTGGTCGAAACGTTCTGTTTTACCGTTGATTTCTACTGTAAAAAGTTTTACCAAATCACTATTAATCTAATTAATAGTTTCTAAATCTTAGTTACATTTAAGATAATAAGGAAATTTTTTCCGTTTATCCTTGACATTCACTACCAAATAAATTACCCCTAAAATGGAGAAGAACTACATGAAAACGTTTTCTTTTCCTTTAGTCGTTTCTTTCTAAACTAGAGAGGCGTATATTACCTGTTTAATTTTTTCCAGTGATTTGGAAAGTGAACAAAAATTCTTCTCTCGCTAAAAGACAGAGCAGCGCTATAGACTTGGTCTTAAAATTAAACAAAATGTTCTTTCGACTTTTGAATGTTATTAGATACCAGTTACGGTTAAATGAAGAGCTTGCACTTTGGTGTTTTTTTCTGATGACTAATTCACGTTGAAGTACCAGCCCGTGAGAAGCATAGGATTCGTTTTGTCAATTTCTAGCTTATAATATGTTTCACTTGCTCTACACATCAGTCTCTTATGAAACTTATTATAATAATTTTGACATTCTAGGTCCATGGAGAAATGAGTATTTAATCCTGTTCTCTACTAATTCATAATCCTTGTGGAATTTCGCTGTTTTCAAACTAAGTTTGCCTTTTATCTCGCAAAGAGTTTGATAAAAGGGCAAATTTAATTCTTCTGGCGAACACTGTAAAATATATTTCTTTAAACTGCGCTGGCCAAGTAATGAGTTTTTGTATCGTGGTAACTAGTTATATTTTAGTGTTGTAATTAATTATAATACTGATACACCGTAATATAAATGGTAAGCAATTTCCAATACAAGGCGTATTTTAAATCTCACATCGACAGATACTTAACACAAATATTCATTTTTTGCTTCAGTAGCTCACAGCCACTTTGAATATAATTCTTTTTGAAAATGCGTTATCAATGAAAGAAAAAACAAACCCCGCTCACACTTTGTAATAAAAAATAGCTGGATTCCTTCCCCTTGTAAAAAATCTTGGATAGTTTTGGTTAGCATCAGATTGCGCTTAAAAAATATATGTGTATGATTCATTAGAAAGGTATTGAATCCTTTGAATCCTTGCTCGTGTTTTAGCAATGAAATAAATCATCTTTGTGTAGCCCACGAGCAGGTCGTCATTGGCGAGAAGTCGGCAAGAGGTCTGGTACTAGGTATTATGAATGCCAGACTCCTTGCAGATCCCTCCCTGGCTCGCTTTTCTCAACGCTTCAATTCTTCACGCAAGCAAAGAAACGCTTTTACTTGAGCGCCAATATATTTATTTCATCAGGTGTTTTGGCGTGTAGTATCACAGAGTAATGTTGCGCGTAGTATCGCTGAGTATTTTTGATAAGCCCGTAAGGCGAGTCAAATCACAATCAATGGGTAATAATACTCATTGATACTACACACCAAAACGTCTAATAAGTTATTTAATATCTAACTGCTTTTTTTCCGCCAAGTCTTTCTGCTCATTTCTCCTAGGGGGGAAGCAAAGCGGATAGAGAAGTGTTACGCGGGCAGCCAACCCGTTAAACAGGTTTTTACACAGTACACAATAACCAACTGTCCAAATAACTGCACAATGTCGCAGGATATCTGTACTCTATTCGCGCGTATTTGTACTCTACATTGTGCTGTTGGATAATAATTAAGACTTACTCGCATGCTATCTTTTGTCTGATATCAGTCATCAAGGACATTGAGTGCTAGGTGAAGATATAGCGGTTTTTCGGTATATAGATTTAACCTCTTGCGATTAAAATCCGTTTGTTTCTGATAGCTGAAAGAAATCCTTGTAGTTTAAGACCTTGAGAAAGCAGTATCAGGATAACAATAACAGCAGACGGACACACAAACATTCAGACAGATAGACAGACATTGAGATAGTCAGAAAGTCAGTCAAATAAACATGGAGAAAATCAGTTGGTCAGAAAGATAGACATTCAGATAAAGAGAAAATAAATGACTGTCAGGAGGTCAGAAAGTCGGTCAGATAGAGAGCTACGCAGTCTGCCGTTAAGGCAGACAGACAAACAGTTATACAGTACATAAAAGGTAAACGCAGGGTTTTCAATGAGAGCCGGTTGTCCTCGGCCTATCGCCGCCTTAATCAGACCTCTCACCGCTCTTATGTTTGAGTTTCGCTCTACGCCCCCTTTTCAGGGCTCAGCCGCCTATTCAGGCACCGTCGGCAGCCGCTTATGGCAAAGGTTATTGAAACCCACGTGAGTGTCCAGCCTAAGAACACAAGACAGTATTCCGGAATAACGCTCTGACCCAGACCCTTTTAACACGACCTCGAGGCCACCGCCTATATCTGTACAAACACTTTAATCAGTTTTGATTGCTTAGATTGCTTATATCATGAAAGAGTCTCTGATGCAATTAACAAATAGTCGTATTTACTTACAGTTCGATACAGGCAGGACCAGGTTTAAACTCGTTCTGTTCCATGAAAGCAAAGCACCTTGTGCTCATAATATCCTTTTTCGGTTTGTAATGTTTAAAGTCAAAGAATATTGTGGAAATATCTTTAAGAAAGATCTTTAAGAGCCGATGCGAACTCGAGGTAAAAACAACCAAACTGCCTAAAGCACGGGAAAAACGCGGGCCACTAAGTCGTAATTGGTTTCAGTTTTGCATCTGATTGGTTGAGAAAGTGACTCGAGCTTTCTGAACCAATCACAGAACGAAGTAGAGTTAAGCCAATGCAATCCCCGAATAATTTCTACTCTCAACTAAAAACATCTCTAATGATGATGATAAAAACCCTAATTATGATATGCGATGCAACGAGCTCTTCCAAAAAATAAACTTTCCTATCTAAACACACGGACATATACAATTATAGATTTCAACTACAATTTTTTAAATCGAAGTTAAATTTAAGATAATTAGGAAGTAAAGAAAGGTGATTTTTCAACACTCAACACTACATAAATTGCCCCTACAATGTTAGCCTTTGAGAAGCATAGGATTCGTTTTGTCAGTTTCTAGCTTTTAATGTGTTTCACTTGCTCTGCACATCAGTTGAATACTCACAAAGGTTTACATTTTTAGACAAGAAACAGACATAATGCAGTCATGAGAAATACAAATAGTCATTTTGAAAGCTGTCTTTGAACAGAGAAATTTGATTTTAGGAAGAACTACATTAAAACATTTTCTTTTCCTCTATCAGAAAGTCCTTTCTTCTTAAACTAAATAGGTATATATAACCGTTTTCATTTTTTTTTTCCAATGATGTGAAAAGTGGACAAAAATGCTTTTTAAAGACAGAGTAGCGCCATAGGTTGGTCTTAAAATTAAAAGAAATGTTCTGTCTACTTTTAAATGTTACTAGTTACAGTCAAATGAAGAGCTTGAGCTTTATTTTTTTTCTTATAACTAATTCAC